TCCAATCTTGGCCTCCATCTTTACATGGCATCCTTCCTGTGTCCCTATGTCTTCACACAGCTGACTTCCTGTAAGGACACCAGTCATATGGGATTAGGGGCCCACCTTGCTCCAGTATGACCTCATCTTAATATCTTCTACAACCCTATTTCTAAATATGAGCACATTCTGAGATGTTGGGGGGTAGACCTCAATATACCTTTTATTTGGGGGATGGCACAATTCAACCTATAACAATACTCATAAGTTAAGTTGAAAGATTAAATATGATGACTCGTGAGTTGGTGTTTCTTATCTATTGAGGTAGGATTGACAGTAGGTGTTCCACATGGGAGATAAGGAGCTAAAGCTGAAGGCTAAGGTGAAACTTATCTATGTACACATCAATAAGTTTTACTATACTTTCCACTTAGCAAAGATCCTATCCTTGGCAACTTAAAAGAAAGCAGAAATAGTATCAAACACAATGTTCTACAAGCCCCTACCTTTGTTGTCACCTCAATGTCTGATGAATGTGTCAAAGGAGTAGTTTCTGCTTGCATTCTCTAGAATCAGACATGAAAGGAAATATTCTAACAGAGAAAGGAAAGGTCCTCTTACTATACAATGTTGATTCCAATCTTGCTGACCAGATTGGTATTAAGTATCGTTAATGCATTATTTTATATATTACTATCTTAGAATAATACATGTTTTCCCATTAGCCTTGCCTTGTCTTTGTTTAGATTATAATTGTTTGCAAGCGTGACAGGAAAGGAAGGTTAAGAGTATGTGTTCTAGGCCAGGTGCAGTGGTTCAAACCTATAATTGCAGCTAACAGAGGCAGAGATTGGGAGGACTGCAGTTGGAGGCCAGCTTGGGTAAAAAGTTAGTGAAACCCCCATCTCCACAAACAAGCTGAGTGTGGTGGCATATACTTGTTTTTCCAGCTACACAGGAGGCATAGATAGGAAAATCTCAGTCACAGGCCAGCCCAGGCATAAATCCAGATCCTATCTGAAAAAATAACCTAAAGCCAAAAGGGTTAGAGACATGGCCCAGGTAGAGCACCTGCCTAGCAAGTGCAAGGCCCTGAGTTAAACTCCAGTGCCACCACAAAAAGAAAAAGAGTGTGTGTTCTGAAGCCAGCTTCTCCACTTATTAGCTGCATGAATCTGTGTGACTTTAACTTCTCTGTGCTTCAGTTTCCTCATCTGTGTAACAGTCATGATAAAAATAGGACCTACCATGGGGCTGCTGTGAAGATTGGAGGAGTTGATTGCATAAGGCACATAGAACCATGCTGGATGCACAGTAAGGATTCAATAAATGTTTGCAACTATTGTTATTATCTTATACACTAGCCAATTTGTCTCACTCCAACTAAACACTATAACATACAAAGGTTTTCACAATATCCTAAGTCGTATGTGATTTGAGGTCAGGTAATACTATAGCCACTGATAAAACAGGGCCTCTTAGCCTGCCATTTTTAATCATACCCAAAGACGTTTCATGCTGTATTGAAGTGAGACCCTGGGCAAGGGAGCAGGCAGTCCATGTGAGAATCCTTATGACTCTTTTTTGCAGAATGGTCAAACCTCACTGTAGTAAGAATCATTTATTCCCATTGGTCAAAGACAAATCATTAAAATTCCATAGTTAACAAAAATTATGACTGATACTGATAAACAGATTATTACAACTCACAGCAATTGATCAATATCCATTTTTGGAAATAAAATTCCTATGAGCCAAGAGACAAGATGTACTGAGCCTGAACCGAGAAAGACGACTAACATGGCTTAACTTGCTCTGATTAAGAAAAAAATGGTTCAGAAATGAGCAGAGCACATCACAACGAGGGCTGTAGTGTCCTGGGGAGATTTAGCGATAAGATGTGACCTACTTTGTTCATTATAGAGCTGCCCCCAAATAGCACTTTGATTCATTGACAAGATGACTCAAAACTGGTACCTTTTCTGCCTAGGCAAATAAAAAACATTGTTAATCTCAAAGAAGATACTATAGAACTAAAGGCTGTGTATTATTTCTGCAGAAATATGCACAAACAACAACATCCGCTTTAAATGCATTTCTATGAAAAGCGTTTGCTCATTGGGTTTACAATGAGCTTAACTAAGCAATTGGTTTTTATAATCCAAAAAGTTGTTGCTGTGATCCTTATTTCCTATGTAAAAGAAAAACTTCTGGTCCTCATATTTGGGCTTTTAAATTTTTTCTTCATAGAGATAAATTTTAACTATTAAAAAAGATTTTTCAAGATTATTAAAATAGAAGTCATTTATAACCTTACTGGGAAGGAAGGGGAGCATTTTCCCCCTCCAGTTTAATTTTTTTTTAGTGATTGGTCTAATTTACTTTCCCTCATTTTTCAATTCTTCATTATACTCATTCTCTATTGCCATATAACAGATTGCATCAAATTTAACAGCTTAAAACAACACATTATCTCACCCATGTTCTCAGGTCACACACGTGGTCATGCCTGAGGATCTCCCATAAGCATAATATTTGTATAAGTTAAATATTGGGAAAACATGCCAAAACTAAATATCTAAGACTGGTTATGACTTATATCCCAAACTCATGTTACCACAAACCAAAATGTTCCATTTCCTTATCAGGTCTATAAAGCCATGTTTTAGAAATGTCTTTTGTCAGTGGCATTATAATGCACAGTCTATTTTAATTTTATTTCTTGCAAGATGCTAACCACTCTGCACATTGGGGCCATTTAAAAATGTGGAACCATAGCATTTTAGGAATAGAAAGATCTTAGAGATTTTTTATGTTAAAAGTGTCCTCATTTTGAAGGGCTAGAAATGATCATAGTCAATGTTCCCCATTACATCTTCAAAAGTCTAGTTAAAAATTAGGACTTAGTAATGCCACATGTAGTATTAAACCACTTACAATTATTGACCATATATAATCTCCAGAAAATGCCAATTCCAGCTAATACACAGTGTTTCCAAAGACTTCGAAGAATTGAAATGAAAAACATCCAGGCAGACTGTATCCTTTTGAAATTCTCCATACCCCTACCACGCACAGAGCTACACTCACCCTGTGCGGCTGTGGTCAGTTGAGTTAATACTGATTCTCTCTGGGTATTTAACTGTCTTCTTAAAAATAAAGAGTACTAAAGGAAAAAAGAAGGAAATATTACAAACATAGCACACATGTACATACGCACACACATGAACACATACACAGACACACACACTCTCACTCTACCACCTACAGGTTAAAAAGCTTATTTTGCTTCAAATCAGGGTCATATTACAAAGTTTAATTCTAAGATAAATAATTTTTCTTTCTTTTTATTTGGCTTGTGGTAATACAATACATCACAGAGAGCTAATCTTAGCTAAGAGATTACCCTAAGCATTAAGTTAATTCCTTTCTCTGACATTAGTCCCAGCTAATTTACACAAGAATTATAGCCATGGCCAAGAATGGACCAGCTTTCAGTGGCTGAGCTACATTTAATCCTAAATTTGACTTACAATATCAAAATTTGATATTTTCCAGGTTCATTGACTAAAATATTCATGTTTACAATAGGATAAGTTCTTCATAAAACCTGATTGATCATCACTCAGTATTTTGTGATCTCTGCAATATTTTAAATTAATATTTTGATTCCTACATGTTGCCACTAAACTTTTTCATTGATTTTAATTCAAGGATCATCCTTGGGCTGTAGGCATAGCTCAGTGGAAGAGTACTTGCCTAGCATGTTCAAGGTCCTGGGATTCCTTCCTCAGCAACAGAAAAAAAAAAAAAGACAGATCAACCTTATCTACTTTTATAAAAAAAAAAAAAAAAGAAAGGAACCTCACTTTCTTTTCTAATTTTTTTATAGCTTCTCTACTCTATCATTCCTTTCAGAGAATTCCTACAAATTTAATTTTTCTTAGTGTGGTTAAGCGAACATATCAGTTATTTAATTGAATAATTTAGCTTCTTTCACTGGTTCCTTTTCTGCTTATGGCTTTATCATATGCTTTAACTCCAACCTCAAACTTTGGCCTTCCAGAAGCACCTATCCTAAATTTTATTTTTATATACATAATCATATATGTGAAATTAAATTTTATTTAAATAAAACTGTGGATGTACAAATATAAAGAAAACTTTGCTAGACTTCTCAGTAACTTCTGAATTAGAATAATACCTACATAGACTCAAAACTCTAGCACATTTTTTCATCTTGTTCTTGAAAACAAGCCTCAGCCTGGAAGGTGGTTGGGTAGTTTTTAGCCCATTTTACAAAGAGAAAGTTGGCACCTTCGCAGGGCAGACCCAGACCCTGTGCTCCCACACCCAGCACTCTTTCAGTTTGCAGTGTGTGTACCCATTATGGGATGGAAAATTGGGAGGGCTATCTGCAGAGTAGAATCTCCTGTACAAGTTCCTAATTTTATGTCTATCTCCAAAAAAGGGATTGTTCCAATATCTACTGGTACTAACAAACTATCCCAAAACTTAGCAATTTCAAACATTTTATTGTTTCTCACTTTCCTGTAGGTTGCCTGGGTTTCCAGTGGATGGTTCTGCTGCTGGTTTTATTTGGGATCTCTTACATTCTTATTTGGGGTCCTACATGTAGCTTCAGTCTATGGCAGACAGAGCTGGCATAACCACATTCTGGCCCCTTAGTTGGAAGGCTGGGCTCCGTAGGGACACTAGGACAACTGAGCCTCTCCTTCATGTGACCTCTTGACATGGTCTCTCTTGCAGGTTAGATGTTGTATTATATGGCAACTCAGGACTTTCAAAAGCACCAAAATGGAAGCTTTCAAGCCATCTTCCAGCTTAGTCCAAGTCACTTCTGCCACGTGCTCTTGTTTGAAATGAGTCACAGGTCAGCTTGGGTTCAGTATGGGAGGAAGTACACAGCTCATGAGTACTGGAAGGCAGGCTTATTGGGGCCATCTTAGGAGACCAACTACTTACGACAAAGATAAAGCTTTCCTTTTCCTCCACTAATTCTCTCTACTCCTTTTTCAGTTCCCTGTGTCTCTGGTGGTCTGCCTAAACCTATGAATATCACCTTCGTATCCATAAATATGAAGAATGTCCTACAGTGGGCTCCCCCCGAGGGTCTACAAGGAGTTGAAGTTACATACACGGTGCAGTATTTCATGTAAGCTAGTTCTTCTTCTTTTGGCTGGTTTATAAACACAAGACTCAGATTGCTGTTAGTTGTGCAAAGATAAATCATCTACAGTATTAAATGTTTTGTAAAGGAGAAAATTTTTGGATATTTCATGTTGAGTTTTCTTGATATGTTTTGTTATATTAAATTAGAAAATAGTTATTTCATGGAGCCAGAAGCAATCAGATGTTCAGACAATGGGGAGTCATTTAAATGGATAAAAGAAATTGGTCAAAACATTATTCTCTGACTAAGCAAACAGGCAGTCCATCAACTCAGAAGCGTCTAGGCTTATTAGAATTATGAACATTTGTTGACTGAGTACAGAATTCTGTGCCATAGGCTGTTCTTAATAAACAGAGCAGTGAATGCACAGTTTTACTTTTCACCTCTCCATCAGAACTCATTGCAAGAAAGAATGCAGAACAGATAGGCAATGCCTATCTTCAGAGAACCAAAAGCAATAGCTATAACCCAGCCCACAACCATGAAGCATACTGCCAAATGTCACAGAGTCAGAAGTAAAACACCTGCAGAAACTGAAAGCAAACCTATAACTCTTTAAGCTTCCACAGTGGAAACTAATTTCACAAGAATAAGTCTCACAGGGCTGAGAGTTTGCCTAACAACATAGGACTGTGCTCATTTAGAATCTCCACCACCAGAAACTGAGGAAATGTCCTCACAGAGCCACGGTCAGTGCCACAGAATATCAGAGAAGGAAGATCTGAAATAGAAATGATGAGGCTCAAGTAACATATCCATTGGGGAGGCCTGGTCACAGCCCAGGAGAAAGCCTGGAGTGAGACAGGTGCAGGACGGGGTAGGGATAGCAATGGCAGGGAGGCAACCCAAGAAGGCTATGACCTTACCTAGCACTATGAGCTGCTCAGCCTCCAGCAGTTTTGAAGGCAGGCAGCTCTCCAGAGGAGAGAATAACATATTGGGTGAGAGAATGTTTGATAGAAACAGAAGTTTAAAATTCTGAAAAGAATAGGCTTGTGGCCTGATGCCTACTTCTACTCCCATTTGCCTAATATTCAGCCAACAAATGGCCACATTCAAAGCATATTAGTCCCAAAGAAATAATCATGGCCTTTATCCGTAATTACTGGAAAAGGGAAAGAGGGAAAAGCTTACAAGTAAAAAATTCCTGTAAAGCTTCCCATGGAAGTCAGAGAAGAATTCAGACAAATCATTGTCCGTATAATACATAAACATGATCGTCAAAGATGGGAAAACATGGAGGATGGTGGATAAAGGAAAATGATGGAGGGGGTGAATTCAGCTATGATGTATTGTAAGAACTTTTGTAAATGTCACAATGTACCTCCAGCACAACAATAATAAACAAGACCCTTAGGTAACATGGAGAATTCTTTTTCTTAAAACTAGTAGACAGAGCTTAGGAAAAAGTTAGAAAGCCAAAATATTTTTTCAAGATGAAAAACCTTCTATACCTAACCGTTATTTGTCGTGAACAGGTAAGAAATATTACCCAAAACTATGTATCATAAATTCATGCTATGTCTGGGAAATTCTAATAAAAACAATAGTGAGATGTACCTTCCTAAATTTAAAAAATGAAATTATTTATGGCCAGCAGAGCAAAGACAAAACTCAAATATGTGGGGGAGGGGGATGGTGAGGGGAATCTGTCTAGCAGCACCCAACATAATATATCTGAGAGAAAGGCAGGTGTGATCCAAGATGCCTAAAAAATTTGGTAGACTTTGTTAAGCAGGTGGGAACTCAAGAAACCACTCTCCTGAGTCCTTCTGGGACAGGTGGACCACAAACTAAAGATTATAACCAGCTAACAGAGATACAGATGAGCCCAAAAGAAGAACTTGGTAATCGCACAGTTACAACAGAAAGACGATGGCTCGCATAGAACAACTTCTAGACGAAAGAGCAATGGGAAACATGGTGATAAAGTTTCCTTGTAACTGTGTGAGCCTACTGTAACAAATCAGATGGAGAAGAACTATAAGTGTACTTGGTTTACATAACAGGAAGATACTAAATGTAATTCAAAATAAAAATACTGCCATCCCTTGACACCCACGGGGGATTGGTTCCCCCCCACACACACATTCCAAAATGCAGATTCTCAAGACCTTTACATAAAGTGACATTATATTTGCATATAAGCCACGTGCATTCTCCCATATACTTTAAATCACATCTAGATTGCTTATAATTCCTACTACTAATGTAGGTGCTTTGTAAATAGTTGTGGTACTGTATTGTTTAGGGAATAATGACAAGATGAAAGTCTGTACATGTGCAGTAAAGATGAAGTATTTTTTCCAAATATTGTCAAGCCATACTTAGTTGAATCCACAAATGCAAAATCCACGGATACGAAAGACTGACTGTACTTTATTATTTTAGTAACCAACCTCGATATTTTTCATAATCCATTTCCTTAATTTAAAAGCTTCTTAGGAATCAGTATAACTTGCAGTGATGAAATATTTGAGCAATTTCTATAATTTTACTTCAATTTCTTTTTTCTACTACAGTTCAAATCAAGATACAGTTATTACTTTATTAGTGCCATATCCATGGAGTAATCTAATTTTCATCTATCTATTCAGCTACCTACTCATTCTTCTGTTTATGTAGAAGCAGGAGAAGAGGTCCACACTCATATTTCGGGGTAATGGGTCTCAGGGTGATTTATTTTTCTCTGGATTATACTTTTCTGAATTGTTTAATGATTTGGATTCTTTTTAAAAGCACATCCCACATTTATAAAAAAGAATAGCTATTTTTGTCATTAGGAAAAAGACAAAAATAAAGGCCATGAAAGCCAGTGAAAGACTTCACTGTGAAAGGGGCCACTCACAATGACCTCATTTATGTAGAACCCATTGTCTGTGTCCAAGGAGAGAAGATCCCAGTTCTGAGAGAGAAATGGCTCATGCACACACACTCACTTCTTTTCCCATTAGGTGGAGCAAACAGCCTACTCTGTCCTCTGTATTTTTATGTTGTTTTAGAAAGGACTTTTAAAAAATAGAATCATTCCTGCTCTGTGAGAGCAAATGATTTAGATTGTGCAACTTTTTAAAAAGAATAGTTAAAAAGCAGATTGCCTTATAGAAGTTCTGACATGCTTATGCATGTGGAAGGTGGAGAGGAACACAGGGCTGGTATTCCACTGCCAGAGGGTGCCCAGTGCAGCCTGGGGTCACTCAGTACTGGGTCCCTGGTCAGGCTGTGTAGCTAGCTGGGTAAGCTGAGGCAATTTACATGCTTTTCTACTTTTGAGTGGTTTGATTCCAAGGTGAAATTTTAACAAAAGCTTAAATTATATCTACCAAAGAACTTACTGCACAAAACAATACATAGTGCCAAAACCACAAGTTCTGGCATCAGGGAAAACTGGTTCCAATCTCAGGTATGCCTTTTATTAGTCATGTGAACTTGAATGAATCCCATAATCTTGCTGAGTTTCAATTTCCTGATCTTTAAAATGGATGAAAATAATGGAACCTTCTCCTAGGAACATTATGTAATTCAATGAGATAAAGTTTGCAAATCCTGAGCACTGGTCTCTGCGTGGAACAGGCAGTTGACAGGTGTTTGCTGAGATTACTAGAAATACTCAGAGACCCCTGAGGTTTCCCACAAGACTTTTTGCCATGGATATGAATCTTTACTAGAATATCTGTTGAATGAATCATTGTATATCTTTCATTCAGAATCCAATAAATTACATTTTCTTCTTGGTCAGCAAGAGAAGTCTGAGGAGGGAAGGTCCAAGAAGCAATAATAAGTTCTTCAACCCTCAAGTCAAGACTTGGTGGGTCAAGAAATCAATTCTGAGTAACATAACTAGCATTTTTTAGTAGAAAGGAATGGCCTAGTGTGGAGTGCATGAAATGGAAGATGATCAAATGACGATGGCATGCAGTGAAGCTCGGGTATTATCTTGTAAAACATTTGGTTTTGTATAATAACTATATGTATGTTTTGTGAGCTGAGTCAAAATGTATAATGTATTTTTTTATCCTGGTTCATAGTCAAAAGAGTTTGAAAACCCCTAGGAAGTGTTGGATCCAAGTCACTTGGATGGAGACCTTGGTCAACAAAACCTGACTGCAATCTAGTGTCTTTTGGCAGGCACGGTACTTACAGAACTGAAGCCATTTGCCTTCAGAACTCTGTTGCAATGTCCTGGAAAGGGAAGACATCCTTAAACTTTGGCAATACTTGAAAAAGATGCCATAGCTTCCTTGTCGAGATGTGTTCTTCTGGCGACTTTTGTGATGCCTGTTAGTCCCCCTTTCCTCTTCATCGCCTATTTCCAAATCTATTTTGTGCCTACCCTTCAAACACTCCTGAAGTTTGCTTTGTGTCCATAGACAGTTCATTTATGCCTATGGGCAATTTATGCCACTGACTCCAAAATCTCTACCTCCCACCCACACCTCTCTCTGGAATCCATTGCCTACTGACCATCTGCTAACTCTCACATACCTCAGCATGCCAACCCCGAACTTACCATCTTTCCCTCACCCTATCTCTCCCTTCCCCACTTCCCTAACCCACTCTTCTTTGGTGCTTTTTGTCTTGGTAAATATTACCACATTCCACCCATTTGGCCCAGAGACATCATCCTTAATCCCTCTGAAACCTTCATTTACCTTGTGTCTTACATGCACTCAATCACCAAGGCCCGATCGCCAATATTTTTTGTCGTGTCCTCATTCATTCTACTGCCACCATTTTTGTTCAAGACACCTATATCTCCCACCCAGACCACTTCAGTATCCTCTTAACTGCTCCCCAGTCCTGCCACTTTCAATCCATTACATTCTCCATGCGACCTCAAGCCATGCTGTCCCCTAACACCCCTGACTTAATCTCTTCAGTAGCCTCCGTGTGACCCTGTCTTTTCCACTGGCTCCTCACATGTTACTAAAGTGCTAGACTGCAGTCTCTTTTTATTTATTTTTTTCTTTTCTCCTCTTATTTTAACATTTTTGCAGTCTCTTTCACCTGAAAAGTGCTAAAAAATATTTTCCTTTATGTTTGTTATGAATGGTTTGTTTTTAACAAAGAAAAGAAAAAAACAGTATGAACAACCTAGTCAATATCATTGCCATCATCATCACTGTAATTACTGAAATTGCAGATTTTGGCATGTCCTGCAACCTAGTGAATTTTCCTCCAAACTCTTAATGCCTATGAGATTTTTGAAATTTTATGAGAATGTCAAGGTAATTTTTCTGCCAAGAAGAAAAATGACTAACTTTTCTTAAAACAACCCATCAAAGTGACCTCATATACATAGTGAACTAAACACTTAGATAATTATGGAAGAATTGATCACACAGTATATAAAAAATTTTACTGTAGCTGAGAATAAAAAAGTCAAATACATGCTTTCAAAGTGCACTCTCCACAATATAATTCACAGAAAAGAAAGGTGATTACAGAAACTCTGACTCATGCTCCTGACAGCTAATGAAAAAAACCGCCAGCAGCAAAAGTGGATTCTTTTTTATCTCAATGACAGGTACTTTTGTTCTTCTAAAGAGAAGGTCTTCCATTCAATTTTATATAATGACTGCTTTTTTTTAATTATAAAGCATAGAGGGCACCTCATTATTAATTCATAGTTTCCCTCCTGGCAGATACGGGCAAAAGAAATGGCTGAGTAAATCCAAATGCAAAAATATCAATAGGACCTACTGTGACCTTTCTGCTGAAACCTCTGACTATGAGCACCAATATTACGCTAAAGTTAAGGCCATGTGGGGAACAAATTGCTCCAAGTGGGTTGAAACTGGACGGTTCTATCCTTTTTTGGAAAGTAAGTAATGCCATTGTTGGTTAAACATGTATTAATATAAAGCTAATCTGACCCCATGGTGTGACAGTCTTGGCCTCTTAGACCACCTTGCTTGGCTCTGTTCTGAGTAGCCAGTCTAGGTGCTTCACCTGGCTGGGCCTCAAAGTCTCATCTGTAGAGTGAAAGGTGGCTAAGAGATCACTCCTGGATCCAAAATTAAGGCTAGATACCAATTATATCAAATTTTGACTTTGCTTTACCATTGAGTAGAGGCTGTGTCCTGTGAGGAACAACTAACTCATTTTTTGATGTTGTGGGTTAATGAATCATTGATATGTGTTCTGAAGTTTGACTGAAGAGTGCTCTGATCACCCAACTGAGCCTCTTTCTATTATAAACTTGGTAGTAGGGTGTTGTCATTTCAAGGTGTAGCTCAGAATTAAGACAACATCTTCCTGTTGTTTGCTTTTATAATTTGCCTTCCCTCAATCTGTGGCTGACTCAGACGTAAAGGACTCAGGCATGACCAACCACAGTGAACTCTAGAAGCCTGGGAGCTGTGCCCTTCCCAGTGCTCTGCCAGATCTGAAGTTGCCAAACTATGGCCCTTGAGCCAGATCCAGCCCCCCTACTTTATGTTTTTCTACAAGCAATGAGCTAAGAATGCTATTTATATTTTTTAAAAATCAAAAAGAAGAATGTTGTGTGACATGAAAATTGCATAATACTCAAATTTCAGTGTCTATTCAAAAATAAAATTTTATTGGAACACAAGCCATGCTCATTTGTTTACATAGTTACTTATGTCTGCTTTTGTGCTCTAACTGGAGTGGAGTGTCTCTGTAATAGAGATCCTGTGCCCTGCAAAGTCTACAACATGTACTCTCTGGACCTGTATGATAGATACAAGTTTACTGGCCTCTGTTTGAGATCATTTGAATCACATCTTTGATTTTCCCACTTATCAAATCATGTTAATGCTATTTATCACCAACTTTTCAGGCCACAGGAATGTTACAAATGCTTTTGATTGTAGTTACCATCATCAAGTTCCATGTATGCAGGTGACTAGAAACTAAGTAAATGCAACATTATGAAATGATCATTTCAAGATTTGGTATAACTTGGGCCCAACTTAGTACTTTTTTTTTTTTTTTTGGCAATACTAGGGTTTGAATTCAGGGCCTCTCTCCTCTCTTGCTAGGCAGGTGATCTAAAGCTTGAACAATGCCTACAGCTCTTTTTGCTTTGGTTATTTTGGAGAAAGGGTCTCACTTTTTGCCCAGGCTGGCTTGGACCATGATCCTTCTATGTTAAGCTTTGCACTGCCACTGGAATGACATACATGTGCCACCACATATGTCATCCAGGTTTTTTCTGTTGAGATGGAGTCTCCCAAGCTTTTTTACCTGGGTTTGGCCTACAGCTGCAATCCTCCTGATCTCAGCCTCCTGCATAGTTTGGAATGACAGGCACACATCACCACACCCAGTTACTGGTTGAGATGGGGTCTCACTTTTTGCCTGGGCTGGCCTTGGACCTCAGTCCTCCCAATCTCAGCCTCCCAAGTAGCTGGGATAACAGGTTTACACCACCAGCACCTGTCTCTGCCTTAGTAGATTTTGAGGCATCTCCTATAAGAAGGCAGTTTGGGTCTTTGATCCAAGCAGGACTGTATTGTAACATTATCTAAGAAGATTTTTCACATCTGAACATGACAATACCCTCTCCCCTCTTCTTTAAGCACAAATTGGCCCACCAGAGGTTTCCCTGACTACCGGTGAGAAGTCCATTTCTATTGTCCTGACAGCTCCAGAGAAGTGGAAGAGAAATCCAGAAGACAGTTCCGTTTCCATGCAACAAATATACTCCAATCTGAAGTACAATGTGTCCATGTATAACACTAAATCAAAAAGAATGGTAAGCCTGATTTGGGATGGGGCATGGAATCTAAGTACCACTTTCTGAAGCTAACCCTGGAACAAGCAGCCCTGGTGTTTTGATTCTTTGTAAAGATCCAGGCTCTACGCCATTTAAAAGAGATGCTGTACCACATTTTCCTTGCAAAAACCTTCTGTTTATAGTACATGATGTTGCTACTGAAATGTAGAGAAGCAGTATACTTCACTTTGACAAAAAGCTTTTACTTGTGTAACATCTCTTAGTCAGTCTCCAAGGAGAATTAAAAAATGTAGGCAAGCCAGGCATGGTGGTACATACCTGTAATCCCAGCTACATGGTAAATATAAATTGGAGGATCTCAGTCAAGACTGGACTGGGCAGAAACACTAGACCATATCTGAGAAAAATAGCTACAAGCAAAAAGGGCTGGAGGAGTGACTCAAGTTATAAAGCACTAGCAAGTGCAAGGCCCTGAGTTCAATCCCCAGTACTGCCTAAATGGATATATATATCTCATATATATATATATATATATATATATATATGAGAGAGAGAGAGAGAGAGAGAGAGAGAGAGACGTTATCAAGGACACAGGACAAAGTTAGTAAGAAATCCATCCCTGTGATATTATTGAAACTGTCCCTGGAAACAAACAAACAAAAGGCATACAACAATTGTACAGGCTCCAATGCTATCGCAGTCTTTTGTTTCCTTCTGGAATTGTCTGGGGTGGTCCCAGGATCTTTGGCTCTAATGGCTGTTGGCAATTCCCTGCCCTAGTGGTCCCAGTGTATCACCAACCACACGCTGGTGCTCAGCTGGCTGGAGCCCAACACTCTGTACTGCATCAGCGTGGAATCCTTCGTCCCAGGGCCCCCTCGCCTCACTCGGCCTTCTCAGAAGCAATGTGTCAGTACTTTGGAAGGTAAGCTTTGAAACTCTGGCCTGCTCTGAGGAAGGAAGTCTGATAAAGCAAAAGGCAGTCCAGACAGGGTTTTGACAAATTCATCTCTAAGAGAAACAGGTGCATTCAAAGCCAGAAACAGCTATCACCCAAATTCATTGAACTGCCACTGCGCTTGGCCAATGTTGGGGGACTCTCGATAGGATCCCATGTCCACTACCATCAGTCCTGCGAGGTCAAAGGGCTTTCCTGCCTTGAGAAATAATATTTAAGAACTTGTATACATGTCTTTTTTCTTCTTTACAGTTGTAATTGCTCTAACCAACAGAAGTTCATTGAACTTCAAAAACACCCAGCTATTTCCTTGTGAGAAGCAAAGTATTATCCTGAAGACAATTTAAAGCAAAACTCTTTTTTTGCTCCCATTGGAAATTACAAATTACAGGCTTTTCGTTTGCATAAGGTTATCACTTATAGGGGAGGTCTAGGATCAGCAAATCCATGATCTTCCTCTCACAGTTACTCTCTTTCCTTTGTCTTTGACTCCTTCTTGTGTTTTCTGAGCTAGGCTGCAGGGAACTGTGGTCAAGATATCTATCCCTACTAGGGGACCTGGGGTTTTGAGCACATATTTATTTAATCTTTTTGCCCCCAGAGTGAGTAGAGGTTGAGCTCAAGCCCTGAAAATTGAAAATAAGTCCTAAGGTTTGCCTACAGCCAATGACTTTGTATCCTCTATTCTTCTGCTTCTCCCTTCCAACAAAAGCTCCAACCTTTTTGCCCCTGGCCCTTGTTCTTTCCCTAGCTCTGAATGGAAATCCATGGGCTCACTTTTCCTCTTTTGCCATATACCTCCCCTTCAAAAGGAAACTTTCCCAAGGAAAAGACAGGGAATATTGTGAATGCATAGGAAAAGTAACAAGCTTTATTGTTGAATCCCTGCCCTTATCATCCTTTTTCCTTTAAAATGAAGAGTTCTCTACCATAAAGCAAATAAAACAGAAATGCCAAGCAAGGGGAAAGCAAAATAAAGCAGACTGAAGAAATCATTTTTGTGTTGGGAAAAAGTGTTGTGTTTACAAATAGCTTGATCAGTGCCAAATTGTAGGAGTGAATTTCCAGTGGAAATCATTTACTCTGTTGGCAGAAACCAAGCAACTAAGCACAGATTACCTTAGATACTTCCCAGTAAGCAGATGGAGCCCACTTTCTCACCAGTGTACGAAAAGGAACAAAAATAATAGGGTGCCATTTCTGGTTCTGACCTTTCCTGTGATACCCTACCCATTAGATCACCAAAGATAACTTTCCAACCCACTGCTTTCTAAAACCTCAGTATTCCTTTTTGGAGACTGTTCCTGGAAAATATCTGTGCTCCCCCTAGTCCCATGACATGCTTGCTGTGTAAAGAATACCCTAGAGCTTTTGTCATTTGTGCTAAATTTACATACATTCTTTTTCTACTGCTGTATTAGTCAGAATTCTCCAGAGAAACAAAATCAATAGGACAGATAGGAGAGAGAGATTTTAAGGAGTTGGCTCTTGTAACTGTGTAGATTGGCAAGGCCAGTCATGAATCTCAAAGCCAGACAAAAATTGATAGAATATCTGATGGCTTGGATTAGTGTAAGGTATTCTTACTATAAAGATGTGAGCTGAGTCCAGGTGATTCCTTATAACCATCTATTGTCAGAAAGATGAAGAATTCAGAACCCCTTACAACATTAGTTCAAGTTTCTCAATCCATGGGTGAGGAAACTGAGCCTCTGAATGTAGTGATCCATCCAATGTCTTTGACAGCACCCGTTTCCCACCACACAAAATCACAACTGTCCAATTCTCCCACACACACTGCTTTTTTTTTTTTTAACAGATCAAACATCAGGATTAAAAGTTAAAATCATCTTCTGGTATGTTTTGCCCATATCTGTTACCATATTTCTTTTTTCTGTGATTGGTTACTCCATCTACCGATATATCCACGTTGGCAAACAGAAACACCCAGCGACTTTGGTGAGTGCTTGGAATGGGGGGAGTCTCTTATAACAGCAATATGCTCCAGGAGGATAGAAAAGGAGATGCTAGAACAAATACATTTCTATCTGAGGACAGAGTGGATTTAAATTTAATAGTCAATGAATTAAAAAAAGCGCATCCTGTGCTAGGAGTATAGCTCAGTGATGGAGCACTTGCCTAGCATGTGTGAGGTCCTGAGTTCCACCTCCAGCACTGCAAAAAAAAAATAACCAAAGATAAAAATTCTTAGCTTTGAAAATATTTTATATTTAATGATCAGATTAGACAAGATCATGGGGTACACAGATAAATTAAGTCATGATCCCTATCTTTCTTAAGGTTCAAACCTAGTCAGGAACTGGAATTTCAAAATTATTCATGAACGCTATAAAGAAAGCAGGCAGTTGGGACTTGGAGGTACAAGTCCCAACTTGTACCTCCAACTCCCTGCATTGGGAATCAGTTCTCATGCTAGTTTGGTTAGAAAATGAGAGTTAGGACACTTACCACAGGCAGGAGAAACAGCAGGGCAAAGGAGGGAGGGAGGTGTGTGGAAAGTCACATCATGACTCTGCATATGGTTCATGAGGAGGACTGGACTGGAAAGCAGGTGTTGGGCCAGGCCTAAGATGCATGGGCTTCATTCTGTTGTCAAAGAGGATTCTCAGTAAGGTTTTTAGCATTGTCATTGTCATTGTCAGTGTTGTGTTGTGGATTCAACTGGATATTAGTTCTAGGTCAACTTTAAGGGGAATAAGACTAAAAACAAGAATAGACTTGGGGGGCTACGACGGTTATGTAGGGGAGAGAAAATGACAATCCAAAAAAGGAGAGTGAGACATCAGGGTAGAGATGAAATGGAAACACTTAGGAGGCCATGGGCAGGACTCAATCATTCATAGCAAGGAGAATAAACAAACAGAGGGCAAAAAAACCAAATGGCTGGATGTTGGTTTGCTAGAAGGTTCTGAAAGACCAAGCAGCACCTGTTCAACATTAAAATTTTTTGCTTGGGAATTAAAAGACGTGTTCACCATACATACTTTTGTTGTGTTAGTTCCATGTGTACATTTTTATGTTATCCTCCTGGCATTTAGGGTTTTGCATTAGCTTTTTGTGGGGAGGGTGGCTCAGAACTGAGGTTTGAACTCAGGGCTTCACACTTGCTAGGCAGGCACTCTCCTGCTTGAGCCACGTCTCCAGCCCTTTTTGCTCTGGTTATTTTGGAGATAGGGACTCACACTTTTGTCCAGGCTGGGCTAGGATCCTCCTATTTTAGACTTCCTGCTGTAGCTGGAATGACAGGCACATGCTACCCCATTCTAGCCTTTTTCCATTGATATGGGGTTTTGCAGTGTGAGCCACTGGTGTCTGGCCATTAACTTTTTAATGGCACAGGGAGACCTATCCTGGGAGGAAAATTCACGGGAGAATTGACTTTGTGTGATTTTTTTAAACTGAAAATTTTATAAAAGAATGAAGCTGAGGGTCCTCTTTTGTAATGTTAAATGAAATTGCACCTTAAAGTGGCAATATGGGTTGTACCTTAGCTTATCACTGACTGATGTTTTCTTAAATAACAGACATCTTCCACACTCCCCCAGCAAAATTATTTGGCAGCACTGGGATTTAAACGCAGGGCCTCACACTTGCTAAGCAGGGGCTCTTAACACTTGAGCCACTCTACCTGTCCTTTTTTGTGAGATAGGGTCTCACAAACTATTTGCCTGGGGGATCCTCCTGAACTCTACCTCCTGAGTAGTTAGGATTACAGGCGTGAGCCACTGGCACCTGGCTCCCCCAGATAATTTGAATCTCCAGTTCTAATCCCTGACATGATTTAGAGGTTCCCTAGGCCATACAATAGCAGATGAAGTTCCTGTTTTGGCCTTATCCTAGCAAGATTACTGCCTCGAAGGAGGTATAAAAAAAACATCGTTACCCATGTCCTTATCTACCTTTCTATATGTGGTTTTCAAACCTATCCACAATTCATGTCCACAGCATATGCAAGAAAGGATTGGTAGCCCAGGCAACCCCTGTTTATAAACAAGTACAGAGTAAGCTGTAATTAACAAAGCAATTTCATGAATTCTGTCTTCATTTTTGCTACCCTTCCTCTGGCAAGAAGTCTAATTTTACAGAATTAAAAAGGTTTAAGAAATTAAGCAACTCACCTGCAATCTGTTAACCAGTAAGAGGGGCAGCCACCCTGATCTCCACACTGGATAGGCCACGTGGGAACCACAGTCACCTCTAATCACATTTTGTGGTTCTCCCCTTTCCTTCCACATATTTTCTAAGCATACCTTAGTAAGAATAGATCTTTCAAACTATCTGGTGACGCCATAAATTCTTAGCAGCTGTTTTTAATGTCTCTTTGAAGTGAAAAGGTGAAAATCATTCTCTTTTCTCTTTATAGATTTTGATTTATGGGCATGAATTTGACAAAAGATTCTTCATGCCTGCTGAAAAACTCGTGGATAACTTTATTGCCCTGAATATTCTGGATGATTCTAAAGTTTCTCAGAAGGAAAGGCTCAACAAAAGCAGGGATGGACTCAACCTTAATGATCCTGAGTCCTGCCAGAGCCCAGAGCCCCATCCAGAGGTGAAGCACTTGGGGTACACTTCACATGTCATGGAAATTCTCTGTGACACTGGGGACAGCAGCAGAGGTGCTTCCCTGACCCAGCAGGAGTGGCTGGGCAGCTCCAGACCCACCACTGAATATGAGTACAACGTAAGAGCTGACTTAGGCCTGCGGCTCACAGATCACCAGCTTAGTGTGCAGGAAGAGGAAGCCAGGCAAGGAAGTTCATCTGAGCCACAGGCAGCTCTGGCAAATGGGGACCAACAAATGCCACTGTATTCCTACACCCTTCAACTCAGTGACTTAGGCTACATGGCCCAGGAGTACACAGGCCCAGAAGAGGGGCTACAAGAAGAGCCATCGACAACACTGGTTGATTGGGACCCTCGGACTGGCAGGCTGTGTATCCCTTTGTTGTCTAGCTTTGACCAGGACCCTGAGGGCTGTGAACCTTACAAGGGTGGCCCTCTCACAGGAGAGGGCCTTTTGTCTAGACTCTATGAGCAGCAGGTCCCAGACAAACCACCAGAAGAAAATGAAAACTATCTCATGCAATTTATGGAGAAATGGGAGTTATGTGTACAAATGGGAAACGAACCGAGACATTCCTTTGCCGGACCCCTCCTGTGACAGGGCGTGTAAGTGCCAACAAACAGTGAACCATTCAAATTAGTGAACCTCTGGGCTCGGATTGGCCAGCATTGGAGAACGACTTGCCTCTCTCAGTTCTTCTTACAGTCATTTGGCCTGACCTCCTTTCAGTGGTTGGCTTATGCATGCAGGTCTCTTCAAATGACAGTGGGTCCCTGGAGTTCAGGGACCCCACCACTGCTTTAGACAGAGTCAGATTTCCGGGAATATTTGTCAGATAGGATTTATTAAGGAAGCTGTACTGTGGCCACTCTGCTTATTCTTTTCTAACAAGCATCCTTCTCCAATTATTTTCTTGGTATTAGCAGGCATATATAACACTGTAAAAGCTGTTTCATAAAGGTCATTTGTTTTACAAATACTACTTTTCCAGAATTTTTGAGTCTGAGAATGAAAGATATACAGGTACCACTAGGTTGGAACCTGTGTACTCAATCCTGATAACACGTGTTTACAGTGAGCAAATCAAGCACAACCCCTCATGGAATTTGATGCTTGTGTCTACCTTAAGAGGCAGTATTTCACATTTTATGAGTATTTTTGGAGTGTGACTATAAATGATTATTTTTCTGGAGTCAAGAAAATGCCCTTGGGATAATTCAATAGGGGCTTTTTGTGGTTCCCTCAAAACTAACCCAAAAGAAAATGCTACATTTTATAATAAAGTAGTACATTTTACTTCTGGAATTGTGTTGTTGGAAAGATATTTACATTATTGTGAACTAGGGAGCACTCAGCGATTGAAGCACTTTGTTACTATAATTAAATATTCTACTGGGGATGGGCTGTTTTTTGGAGTCTCTTTGGAAGATGTATGAAAGAACATCATCTATCCACATTACAGTAAAAGCAGTAAGCAAACACAGGACATAGAAAAGAAGTCAGTTAAAGCAATATGGACAGAGGAGTTCATTAAACGCTAAAGTAATTTATGATGAGAAATAAAGTATATCATAAAACAATACTTTCCTCGTTAAATGCAAGTAACTGTTACCCCTCTCTTTTGCCAGTGAAAAAAATTAAATTCTACAGTACACTAAAATGTGACAATCTATAAAGTTGAGTTAAAAAAATTAAATTCTACAGTACACTAAAATGTGACAATCTATAAAGTTTGAACGAAATTACTGATATTTCGTTCCTTTCACTCTACAGAAACAGCAACATCATACAGCTTACCTTAATAGATATTTGTTTTTGTCAGGAACTCATCATCTGCTAATGCTCCTTCAGGAAAACAAATTATTATCCATATTTCCTATTTTTTAGACAGGCAGATGATCCTGGTAAGAGAGATTGATTGTAGGGTCATGGTCTTTTGCAATTATCCACAAATCCAAACAGTTTCTGATTTAATGGTTGAATTTGGAACATAATTATATTAATTGGAGTGTTCTGTTCTTGATCTTTGTAGAAATGATTCTGCTGGTTTTGAAGAACCAATTTATAACACAAACTGTAGAAGAAGTTCTGGAGTGGGTGAGGAAGACTTGTTATTAAGAGCAAAAAAAATTGATGATAGTTTGCCTTATTAATTTCATTTACAAAGTATTTATTGAGTGCCTACTACATTCTTCAGTGCCCTTGTCTATGAGGTATAAATAACAACCTCCTCAGGGTTGTTTTGAGGATGGAAAGACTTAGACTATAGAAGGCACTGACAGCCCTGAACGCCATATAATGTCATCGTCATTGTTAACTGCCAGGTGACACGCTTAGCACCAGAAAGCAAAGCCACTTGGGTGCATGACTGTTTTGATTCAAACACAGACCTTACCTAACTTTGTTTTTCTTACCCGAAAGTACAATAGTAATTTGCTTCCTACTCTGTGCATTCAGATTGAAATCCTTCCATGGCTGAGCCACATTTTCTAGCTTTGTAAAAAGAAATCTAATTGAGTTGTTTTTTCCGGCTCTTGTCAGTCTAGGTACATCAGAAGTACTGAACATTTCTCTAATTCTGCTCCTTGCAACGTGTGCACTCACAGAGATATATTCAGACAGTGTCTGGCTTAGCAAGGGATCAACTTAGGATTTGTCAACTTTTCCATAGTGCAAAAACATATACACTCAGTAGAAACCACACTTCAAATTTTGAATTGTGATCTTTTCCCAGGCTACACATATGGGACATGATCCTCTCTCCTAATGTGGGGCAGTGGCAGTGAGCCACAGCTCCAAGTCAGCCATATAATCCCGAGGAGAAACCATCAACACTCTTGGGTTGCACTGACTTACCGTGTTCTGGAGGTTGGTGTGTACTACAATTGGGATGATTTCCTCCAAGGCCCATATGTTAAAGGCTTTGTTCCCAGGGGCACTATTAGGAAGTACTATGGACTTAGAAGGTGGGGCCTATTGGGAGGTTCTTGGGTCATTGGGATGTGCCCTTGAAGGAAACTGTGGGAGCCAGGTCTCTCAGTCTTTGATTTCTGGCTTGTGCCATGAACACTGGCTCCCATGTGCACTCCTACCATGGTATGCCACCCTAGAAAAAGGCCCAATCCCATAAGGCTACCCATTCTTGAGCTCAAAACTCTGGAACTGTGAGCCAAAATAAAACTCTCTTGATTTTGTAAGTAGCCTGTGTCAGGTATTTTGTTATGGTGACATGAAACTGACTAATACAGCATATAGTGTACAGATTCATTTTCAAGTTATATTTTTAGCTTTTAGTAGGTTTATGAGGACATAACCCCATCATAAGTCGAGGCACATTTGTACATTCAAGCACAAACTTATGATAGACATTTCTTGTAAGGGAAAGTAACATCTTCTTAGAGGTAGCATATCTATGTGGGACGCAGCTGTCATGTATCCTGACTTTTATGGCCAGTCCTCACCCTCTCCTCTTCTCCCTCATAGACTCCATCCCTAGGTATGAGGCTTGGTGGAGCTGTGAAGTTGAAGTGTCAGGGTCTTTGACAAACATCACTGGTGCCATGATGAGCCATTCCTCATGTCTAGGATTTCACATGAATGAAACATCCTTGTGAGGAAATGAGGTTAGTTAGTGCACCCATTTCTTCCACCTTTCTCCTTTGCACAACGGCATCGTGTTGGGGCAGAGCATCTGGAGGTTCAGACTTCTGTGGTCTCAGAGCCACCATGAGGAGGGCCCTGGGAAGAATCTGCCATTTTCAGTGGAAAACGTGCTGATTACTCATTATGATGATCTTGTACTTTGGATCTGGATTTGCTACACCTTTCTTTATAGTATGACACCAAATGCTTAAGAAATAAGGGTGTTTAATTCATCCATCTAACAGATATGAAGAATATTTTAAGAAGTGGTCTCTTTGGAAAATGAATCAAACTCTTGGACTCTTAGAGAAAATCATATATGTTTGCAAAGAAACTCATGACGTGGAAAAAGAAAAAAACAAACAACACCCATCTCTTAGTGGCTCTATTTCCATAGCCCATAAATCCTGAACAACTGATGAATGAAGATGGCACCCCTGGAAAGTGAGTGAAACCAAGTGTCACATCTTGCCCATGAGAAGAAAGTAGATGAAGGGAACTTGCTCCCACAGCCAGCAACAGCAGAAAGATCTTGTGTCCCCAGGCTGCACTCTGATCCAAGGAAATCGGAACAGCAAGGAAAAACTCTTTGTGCAGCCTGCAGCACAGGTCTGCTCCACAGTAAGTCTAATGAGAACATTAAACAGAGGTGGTTATCATGGACAGGTGCACCTGGGCCATAAATCAAATTCTTTCTGCTCCACGCGTTACCACCCCCACATCTCGCAGATGAATTTAAGCTAAATTATCTTACAGCTGCTTTTCTCTCTTTTCCCTTTTTGGTTTCCCACGTTGTATCAACCATAAATCTATCTACAGTTGTTTTTTCAAAGACCTTGCTCAAAAGCATATGCCTAGAATTTTAAAAATAAATAATGGGTATTTTAACAATGTTTTAATTTTTATTATTAAGATATGCATGTTTACATATACATGTTCATTACAATTAGCTAAAAATAAATGGGCAAAAAATTAGAATTATCTATGCTACTCCCACACATATTTAGCTGCTATAAGCATATTGTGATAAGAAATGATTCTCAACGGTAGGTGATTTTTTACCCCCCAGGGGACATTTGGTAATGTGTAGGGACTTTTTAAGACAGAGTCTTGCTATATTGGCTACAATGTTCTCAATCTTGTGGACTCAAATGGATATTGATATGACCACCACCATTCGGAGTCCCGACGGCCATGGCCACCCAGAGTCTCCCTGGTCGATTTTCCCCACATGGTTTCCAGCCTGCTGTGAATAAGCTAACACCAAGGGTATGCCTGATATCCTTGGTGTTAGCTTAAGATAAACCATCAGAGCTTCTGGCTCAGATGTCTTGACCACATCAGAAGCCCCCTACTTTTCTTCCAGATCATGGGGATCCACTGTTCTTGTGCCACCCAGGACCATGCTTCTGTCAGCAAGTCACTCTTTAATCAGTAACTTACACCCTACAATCATGGATCTGTCTGCCTGTTCTCCAGTCTCTCAGAACCTTGGATCCAGTTCTCACACACTGGGGCTGTGTTTTTCTGGAACACATTCTATGAGTACTTTAAAGATAACTGGACCTCTCAAAAATATTATTTCCTGAGGTCACTACCTTTCCAAGTGACGACATGACTAGCAGATGGTCATGTCTCTTTCCTTATGGGTGTAAGATTGCCTGTGGTTCATTCCTACTACCACTTCTCCTAAGGCCTTTTGACTTTCATAGACAGGGGCTTAAAGACAACCTTGACACTTCTCCTAAGGCCTTTTGACTTTCATAGACAGGGGCTTAAAGACAACCTTGACTGCTCAGGCCATTCCTGAACCATCTCTGCAGGACTCCTGTTCCTCCGGCCTCCTTGCATGTAACAGCTACAGGATTTTTATCCTACTTCATTTACTCATTCATTCATTTGAACTCAGGGACTCACCCTTGCAAAGCAGGCACTCTACCACTTGAGCCTCACCT